CAAAAAACTTCGATAAGGATAATTGGAATTTAGAGTACTTACTTTAGAAATGGCGCTTGAAATTTTGAGAGCATACAAAGGCTTTAGGCATCGATGTTTATCTTTATAAGGAAAAATCATTTAACTTTAAGTCATGACGTAATGTACTTTTGTGTCACGTCACAGCGTATCAGTGAATCATGGTCGAGTCGTTTTGCAGGTTATCGCAAATGTTAAAAATGTCCTAATCTTGCTTTTTTGTACGTTCACTATAGTACGAGGTAAACCAAAACATGACCCGTCTACTTCTCGTTCTGAGTATTTGAAAATACGTATGTAGCGATTAAATTTTCTGAGAAATTAGTTTTGTTTACTTTATGTATATAGCAGGGTGCGGTGTCAGCGTGGTTTTCGTACATTTTTAAGCTTTTTGCTTTTGAGTTTAATAACATTTTATTATTTTTACTTCTTAATTCGAAAATGTTTGCATCTATGCAAGGTCTAGTACATTTTTTGATAGTATTCTTACTATGTGTATTTATATGCATTAAAACTAACATGGGAAGCATATTGGGAATATTTTCTAACCACTATTTGACATTGAATAAACCACAAATGTTAGTTATTTGATAAACTTTTATAACATAAAGATAATGTAACCATATTTCAAATAAAGTATATGGTATCCTATTGTATTGTTTCGTGTTCTGTGTAATTTGTCGTTGTTGTTTTTTCGCGTAAATATAAACGCAACGGACGTGACCGTCACAATTGCGGACATCCGCGTAACCTATTACGCGTAACATCAGAAGATTGACTTTGGTATGAAAGTCAATTTCAATTTACAGACCTTACATTGTGAGCTTATAAACTGTTCAAGAACTCTAAAGATATTTGTTAAAATTGAAAATAATTTAGAGAAAAAGAAATGGACCATTTGATGAATTTTATTGAGTCAAATAACTGATGTGATGTACAAGGAAATCTTTCAATTAAAATTTAATCAATTGATTCATAAAAAATATAGATTTTATGGAATTAATCTGACAATTAACAAAAGACATAATATACGCACTCTTTATACGATCACTAGCTTTCGCCGCCGCGAGGAATAAAAAACATAAGTAGCCTATATGTTCTTCAAAATTATCACGTCTGTGCCAAATTTCGACATCCGTTCAGCAACTTAGGCCACAAACTCTAGCAAACATCCATCCATCTAAACTTTCTCATTTATATTACTAGTAAGACTAAGGTTCGCTATAAATCATATTTTAAACAAACATAAACACCTTCCATAACGATATCCTGTTTTCATCTTAATAGCGCGAGCGTGAAGAAACAATAAATTAATCAAGCAGACAGATCCGAAGGCGAAAGCGATCATTGTGGCCTCAACCACTTGTGTGAGGACTTCCAGTTTTATTATCGTTGTTTTATTGGACCTCTTAAACATGCTTTCAACCACCTAAACTTATTTGTATGTTTTTTTCCTCCACCGGCGTTTTTGTTACCTTGAACGTTTTCTATACTAATATTATGAATAGGAAAGATTTCATTGTATATTTGTAGGATTTGATACAACTGAAACAATTTCAAAGAGACAAAACAAATTATAGAATTAAAAAAAGGAATATGTCTTCATTTGCTAATAGCCTGAAACTGTTTGCAGTATTAATCATTTTTAAAAGATTAATTACTATCTTCATTCAATAAATGCTTGGAAAATATCATCTCATTTCAATTTCTATAAACGTTAAATTTTCCTGGTAATTTGAACTAATACCTGTAGACAGTAAATGCACCGTAAGTTAAATTTAATAACCAGTGCTGTTCCTTTTAATAATGTAATTTGATAGCTCCCGTTGTATGGCCGAGTTATACAAGAATTTAAATTCTATATCAAGTATTAAATAATAAGTGAGTATTTTCAGTAACACGAATAAATAAGATACGAAATGAGTATATTAGAGGAAGTTTGAGAGTAGCCCCAGTAGTAGAGAAGGCAAGGAGTAAAAGGTTAGCATGGTATGGGGAGGGATGAAATGCATGTTACAAGGAGAACGTCATTTATGAGTGTGGAAGGGTACATCGGTAGAGATAGACCTAGAATGAGATGGGTGGATTGCGTAAAAGGTGTCATGATTTTTGGGTCAAGAGTTGACTCGTAAAATCCCACTGGGATTTCAGGAAAAGTGTACATAAATATTCTTTTAAGGATACAAAATACATAAGGAGTGTGGAGAGTTAAAAAGCCGTCTGATTACATTCACAGTGCTTTACCGTTAAGCCTCGTAAAAGCGAAGACCTATTAAGATTAACGAGATATTGCTTCCTTCGACTATCCTAATGTGTTTACTTGTTTATTCAAGCTTGTGCGTTAAGACATCAGTACTTTTTAACTATGTCTTAATGATGTAAGAAGCATTGTGTGACGAGTTTTAAAGATATTAGTAAATGCAGTGACAAATAAACAATGTATTAAATAACAGCATACAATAAGAAAAGACAATGTTAATGAATTTATGATTATATCTACATATGTCCATTAAGTTCATTAAATCCATTTAAAAAGATAATAAAAACCAAACTAATAATATAACCTTCAATTAATTTTATCAAGACAAATAAATTAGATATTTCATTGCACATTCGAAAATAGAATTAAAATATCGCGAAATCCTATATTTAATGTAAATTTAATAAGATTTAAATATATATCACATTTTCTTAAAATAAACAATTCAGTAATAATATTACGATTACTATTACAATGTTTTGCACATCTGTGTCTCGATGTCAATTAAAAATCCATACGGAAATGTAGCTATAACGGATTAGGTATCAATTTCTTGATGGAATTTTATTTTATCTACTGCATAACAATGATATCCTGCTCAAATGTTAAGTCCATCAATGCTGATTTGTCATGTATATAATTATAAAAGAATATATAAACAACCGTGCGGTTTTCGCGGAACTTCCTGCCCCGCACAGCCGAGCTGTGGAACGGTCTGTCCTCGGCGGTATTTCCAAACCAATACGACTTAGAATCCTTCAAGAAGCGAGCCTACAATTTCCTCAAAGGCCATCAACGCATCTGTAGTTCCTCTGGTGTTGCGAATGTCCATAGGCGTCGTTGACCATCTCTGTGTTCCCGCCGCTCGTTTGCCCCCTTCTCTTATAAAAAAAAAACTAATTTATAAAATAAAGGTGTTACGCAGATAAGTTATAACTTTTTATGGACTTTTTACTAAGGTTTCTTGTGCAATGTCCATCCAAGTTTGGATTCTAATCGTAAAAGCAATATTCTAACTTTAAACTCTAGTGGTTACAAACATAATGGTTTGAGCTCCTAATCAACCTAATCGTGGTAAGAAAACTCTTACGATTAAACCAGTATTCTGTTCAGAAATATTTAATAGACAATCTTCGACACAAAAATTAAATTTAAAACCTAGAAAAGTTACTTAGAGGGCCTTTAGAGGATTACAAGGCTATTAGGTTTTTTAAAAATTGGTTGTTCAGAAATTTTCATACTGTATTTAACGTTAGTCCACCCTAAATTATTTAAAGCATATACGCGATCCCTTGTAATAGCAAGGGCGGATTCAGCCTTGGCGCCAGGGGGGGTCACATAGTCGTGATCAAGTCAAGAGCTTGACAAAATATGTAAATATATTTTCTCAAGCTCTTGACCAATCAGCTCAGGGGGGGGGGGTTCATGACCCCCATTACCCCCCTCTGGATCCGCCGTTGTGTAATAGGTTACCAGGACCTTGATTATACAACGGGAAGTATCTCATGCAGGTATGTTTGCATTTAATAAAAGTTTTAATTAGTAATGAATAGGGGAAGGGGCCGTCCCCAACAGACTCAATGAGTTACTTAATATCCCAGCAGTATTAAACGTTATTTGTATATTGACATATTATTTGTTTTAAATTATTTTTTAATTATATTAATTATCGAGTAATAATTTATAGAAGACATAATAAATTACTATGATTTCTTTATTCAAATTATAGTGTTTCAGTTAAATCTAAGAATAGATTTGTACATTAAAATAATTATTATACAAAGGCCAACATTTTAAATAGCGTTCATTCAAAACTAGCTTTTGCCCGCGACTCCGTCCGTGTGAGATTTAAAAAAAAAAAAAAACAAAAGCGAGGAGCTTATGTACTCTTCCAGACTATACTCTACATCTATGCCAAATTTCATCGAAATAGGCTTAGTCGTTTAGGCTACAAACTCTAATGAACATCCATCCATACATCTAAGTTTTTGCATTTATAATATATACTCGTAATACTAATATTAACAAGATCTGATTATCATGGTACATAATACAGTGAGACACGTAACGATTTCAAGTAAAAATTTAGTAATAATACGGATTGTGGTGTTGATTGTCACAAACCGTGGATCCACGACCGGTATTCTTGTTAGAAGCTCTGTGTGTACGTATGTTTCTATATTACTCTTTGGGGTCACGATATACCGAAGTATTCAGGGGCGGGAACTGGTTCCACGTAGACTGCGGATACCCTACTTTAAATCGGACTAAAGTTACTTTCAATCTGCGTTGCGAATGTATGAATTTGGATCGAAATGTAGTTAATTTGAATTAATTTCTTATTAAAATATTTTTATTAACATTTAGTTCTATCTCATTTATTCGTACACTCGTAGTTTCTAAAAAAAACGAATTAAAGCAATCCGCGATTTGAATAATAATTTTATTCGAAAAATTATGTATTTTTATTTTTTTATTTTATGTGATGTGAACTGGCCAAAATATTTAATATTCTTTTTGAAATTACGATTAGGGTCCAATAGAATGTTGTTACATCTGGCTTATCTTAGAAATTAAAAAAAAATCAGTTACAATCGTTTGAATTAGGAACGAATGAATGACTATTGGATACGGCGTTTGCATCCGAGTCTGTTACAGACGCCCGGGTCTAGAACGGACGACCGGGTCTGGTTGCATCGTTGGAGCCGGGTGGTGCGATCGAGCGTCAGTCCAGTCGTCACGTCAGTCCACAACGAGCCGTCGACTCGACAGTACGTCACTACGTCGCCACGAGCACCGAACGTGGCGCGATAAACTTCCACATACAAATAATAATCAAAAGCCGACTGTGCATGGATTGAGTGACAGTGCGTCAGTGAAGATTAAGTGTTCGGCTCCTAGCTACGGGACTCCAAAAAAACTATTATTTTTTATAAAACGAACATCGAAACGAAGCAGCGACGAAATTGTTTTTCTTTCCGAATTGCACAATAATCCAAGGTGAGCGCATTAACTTTTTGTACTAATTAATAAAGTTAGCAGTAATTCAATTAATTACTTTTAGTTTCTTGCTAATAGTAACCTGATTTCAACACAAATTAATGCCAAAATCTAGTTAAATATATAAAAAATTATAGGCAACTTATTTTCCCGTCAGTTATTTTTACAAAGACATGATATCTTTTTTAACAGTTACCGTCAACAGCTAAGGTCCATGGTTGACTAAAGTAGATTTTTCAAAAATGCCAACGAAGCTGAGTGTGAATTTTTTAATTCGAATATGTTTGTTGTGCTGAGAAAATATCGATTTAGTTACTTTACGATGTCAATGGCACACACTATCATTAAGAACTCGTATTTTCGATTTGAATAACAATTTAGGACGACGATAAGATTTCTATGTGATGACAAATGATTTTTAATATATAAAATTAAGACAGCTAAAATTAAAAGGTCACGCGATAAAGAACTCAAGTACAAACGGATATTTAACAAATGATTATTTTTAATATAGGCACTTGATCTATGATTTAATTAAGATTTATCTTAGTATTATTTAGGATTTCCTATAACGAGATTATAAGATTCAGCAAAGTAGTGTTGTAAATTTAGTATTTAACGCTTATAGTTTTTGCGATTTAGATACCTGGTATTGAAAAGGAACGAGTAATACACAATGGTGCGGAAATGCTAAACATTTCTGATGGTAAAAAATGAAAACGACCTACGTACCCCTACAACCTCTTAAGTTGACCTTTGCAGTTTGAGATGGTTGTTGTTCAATTTTAAATATACCCGCATATTTGTGACATTGACGAAAGAACAATCAGCGTTAGTTTATTTTTTACTCTATAAGTTCCAAGTTTGAAAACGCTTAATAAAAAAGCGGCCAAGATTTTTTAATTAAATACTAATAGTGTCATTAAAAACTACTAAAAACACTCGATTAAAACACAGAATATAAAGTTATAAAAAAACACGATATCCGTAATGAAATATCGTCAGTTCGTTAGGCTTCTGAAGACCTTGGCATAGGTTTTTCTTATAGTTGCTCTTGAACAGGATTATCCTAAGCATACTAAGTCCATGGACACAAGAACTTTGTAAAATCACGCTACTCGTATATTAAAGTTCAAGTAATAAATACACAATTTTTCTTGAGTCAACTATTCTTCACTAAAGAGCGCGCGCACATCTTTGACTAAACTATCGCACAACTGTTTAGTCGCACTTTGATTCCTATGATTTATTTTTATAGGGACTCTGGTTCCTTAGAACATAAATAGTATATTTAATATAGAATATATACGATGTTATTCGAAATAAACGGAGCCTGCTCTAACATTATAAGCACGTCGCCGCCATGCTCGCGTCATTTCGTTAAAAATTGTAATTTTGTTATTAAATTTAAATTACTACAAAGTGTCATTAGCAAGGAGAACTACGTCAATGATTTTTTGTTTACATCTGAAATGTAATGACTATAAACAGCGAATATAATGGTCCAGAGAACGAACCTTGCGGTATCCAATATTATTTTCTCAATTTGTTACAATTAATTTATATATTTCTTGATTAATTTTGTATTTAAACGATTGTGGATTAACTTAATGCATCAGAACGTGTTCAGTAAACACCGGTTTTGTGCATTTCTAGACAGCACGGAGACTGGCATCACGATCCGCGCTATTACAGTAATGGATGCTCGATTAGCGAACGGCCGCCTTTAACCTCGCGATCACCGACAGAAGGCTACAATCTGTCTGATTTTTTTCCTCTTTTGTATAACACAAAATCTTTAGTATTGTGTCCGAAATAGACAACTAACTATTGCATTATTTCAGTCTATAATATAAACCCTGACAATATTTCCATGATTTTTATTGCAGTGTCGTTTCTTTTGCTAATAATTCAATAATCGTCGATCGATTCCATTTCTTGCTTGTTATCAATACATATGGAAAAACGTATATTCCCGGTAAATCGTAGTTTACATTTTATTATTACTTTGGAAAAATTCACAGTTTAAAGATAACTTTGACTTCTTGCTTTAAAATTTCCAGAATAACTTTTCTACTGTAATTTTATTAATTGTTAATTTTAACAAAGTATCTTAAGGATTTCCATTGTCTTCTGTTATTTATATTTCAATAAGCTGGGCAAATAGCTAGTTAAATAATTGATACATATTTAATATGTGATAACAGAACCAACTTCATTTGTGCATACTGCAACGTGAGACATGCAAGGCTTTGTATGTACAAGAATGTCTTACGTATGTATTGCAGTGTGAAGAAGTTATCACAAACAAATAATGCAGATATATTAAAACGTTTAAATTTAAATTAATTTCTTGTGATGTGATAATGAAAAACGTGACTGATAGCTAGGTCAAATAGTGATTACGAAATAGCTACTGCAAATTTTACGTGGAGTTTTTGTATGTTATGTTATCGTATTTGTACTAACTAGCTGGTACTCTGATGTGTCTTTTTGATACTTTTATCTGTGTAAAAATTATTTTAAAGTAGTTTTATTTTCTACTAAGATCAATGGAGTCTTTTTATCTATAGATATTGTTAGGAATAAAATTAGTACCGTGCTATAGAATTGGCGCAACTCTTGGTTATCGGCATAAACGTCACGTCCCTAGCTGACAGCTGTCAATGTCACTAGAAGTATGGATAGATTGGCGCGCATCCTAAGTCTTGACGAGAAGTATTGCTCTGAGTTAAAAGCGACAATATCAATTAAATAAGTTGTCTAATAATATAGACTAAATTCATTCATTCCTACAGATGTAGGCTAAATTCATCAAAATTAATACACATTAAAATCATTATTAGATTTTTTTTTTTTATAACATAAGGTGGCAAACGAGCAAGCGGCCACCTCAATCCAAAGCGACCGCTGCCCATATACATCCGCAATTGCAGATGCGTTGCCTACCCTTATCCGACGGAGGAGGAGACGCACATAAAGAGGACATTTCCCCTTCCTATGCATATCCTCCACCGTCAAATCCACTTCCTCTTCCCATCCTCTTCTTATAAGAAAAGGGCGGTAAAGAGAAAGGGACTAAAATTAGGCCTCCGGCCTCCTAGGCGATTTCTCAACAATGGTATTTTTTATCTGATTTATAGAAAGTATTCATTATTCAATTAGAAATACATCAAACTGATAGTTAAATGTTTTAGCCACGACTAAAACTTTAATCTATGTTAATATTATATGGAGGAAAAATTGTTTTTTGTATGTAAATATCTCAAAAACTAGAGGACCGATTTTAAAAAGTCTTTCACCATAAGAAAGGTCATTTATATGTGAGTAACATGGGCTATATTTTTTAATTTTACGAGGGCGAAGTCGCGAGTACCAGCTATAAATATAGCAAGCCCAACACCATTATTAAAGCTGTCAAAGCAAATTGCGAATACAATGTTATCTGTATCAATATGTTAACTACAATGTCTACGTTCAGCTGTTCTCCACAAGACAGTTAGGAAGCTCGCCTGATACTGGTTTATGATTAATGGTGGGCATGGTTCTTTACCGTTACCCGTTTCAACAATGTTTCTTAGAATCCCATTAATTTCACTTAGTTATTTCATTTTGAATATATTTTTATATGTACTCAATAATCAATAAACTGTCTATCAAAAAAATTACATGATTAGAAAACCATATTTCATCACATGATTGTATTTTAGTACTAAATAACATTAACACGTATTGATTTTTTTTAAATAAGAACACTAATTTCACGTTTTTAAATTAATTAGTCAATTTCAGGGACACTAATTAAATTTGTTTACATTTAAGACAATTTGTTTATGCGGAACTAGAATGGCTGTCAGAAAATATAACAGCTAATATTTGTTATTCACACCACTATACCGCTTTAACTGTGACATAACAACCGTCCCGTGTTAATTACCGGTGATAGTATCTGTAATCTCCATGACATTATCTCAAGCTATCTACCGGCTCCAAGGTTTACTGGCAGCGAGGCCCCTTATTACTTAAAGGTGATTATTTTGTAACAGGTAACACATAATACTCTTACAATTTTTAAAATTCAGATAAACTGATAAATTATAATTCAAAGAGTGATAAAGGTTTTTACGCACATTAGGCAACCATCATCCAAATCAGCAACTGGTTGATAAGAGATTTTATTGTGGTTTTTTAATACAACATATTTCGATTATAGTTAACAGATTTCTTAAGATATTTAATAGTTCTTCAGTAGTAATATCAATCTAAATCTTTACTATAATAATAAAGCGTAAACACACACTTCTTTGTTGCCTAAGATGTCAGCAATTACAGCATATTACACTTATGTCACGCTTTAGGCTATACATATAATAATTTCACGCCATTAAACTTAGAGGGTAAATATTTTGGATAAAAACCCTAATGTTGGTAAGAGACCATAAGTTGCTGCCAACATCAAGGAAGCAAGGTTGCTATGGTTTGTCATAATGTCATGTCAATTTGACATTTGCAATTGACACATGTAAACAAGAAAATAGAATTTTCATAATTTTATGCGAATGAAGTCACACGGGAACAGCTATTAGTAATAAAGTCTAACAGAAACAACGATTATGCCCTTCACAGTATCTCATATTGAGGTTATATTTGTCGAGAAATATTTACAAAGTAAAGTTGTTACATATCACTTCTGAGTCAATACCCACTAAAGAAGCATTTAAATTAAAGATAAGATAGTTATAGATTTTTTATTAACAACAAATGGCTGATAAATAAAAAAAAATCAAATCGTTATTTCCGATTTAAAGATTGTATCACTTTTTGACCGACTTCCCAAAAGAAGGAGGTATTCAATTCGACGATATGTTTTTTTTTTGTATATAAGTTTTCTGACATTTTCTCCAATATGGCAACATCCTCTATAACGATAGAAATGAACTTAATAACCTAACTTCTATCTCCAGTTTATCTTAGTCGTCGCCACTGTTAGTATCCAATTA